AAATGATACCTCCAACATTTCAACACAAGCAAATCATCGAACACCTTCAGAGCAGAAATAGATGTTTATATATTCTGATATAAATACACAAAACTAAGAAAAACCCAGATGATACCTCCATCATTTAAACACAAGCAAATCATCAAACACCTTAAGAGCAAACACAGATTTACAAAATCCAATACATAAAAACATATTAAAGCACACACACACACACACACATATATATATATAGGGTATTTGGATTAGAAAAGAGGGTATTTGGACCTGCTTGTTCATTTCAACACCGATGGCGTGCTTGGTAACGTTCCATTCCTGACCAGTGTGACCATGGTAGAACTTGTGGGGCAGGCCCTTGTGAACAGCGCCGTTAACCTTGATGTCGACATACTCCCCGATGTGGTAAGTGTGAAAATATGTCGACAGATTAATTGTGCCCTTCTTGCGGAACCCTTGAGAGAACAGATCTCTCGTCCTCGACCTTAATCCATGTCCAGCCGGCATCTTCTCTCTCTCTCTCTCTCTCTCTCGCTCTCGCTCTCTAAATCTCTATACTCACTGTGCTCTGAAGAATGATGAGAGATGCGTTTTTAGGGTTTTGATTGTGAAGCTATTTAGCTCTACTAAGAGCATCTCCAACGGTTCACCATTTTTTCATCAAATCTGAGTAAAAGAAAGGCAAGTTCCTTGATCTGATATCAGCTACTCCAACGGTGCACTGTAGCTTTCATCAGAAGACGGTGGACGTCTGGGGAGATGACCGGCCGACCAACTGGGCAAGGAAAATGAATTTTTTTTTTCCACATTCAGAACCATCACCTGATTTTAAATTTTCATGATTTTTGTAAGGGTAAAATGGGTCTTGGTTAGAAACATCTTCGGTATTCAGATCCCAACCAAAACCCCTTGATGTTGTTTTTAGTTTTCTTATACTTCAAGTTTTATTCCTCTTTGCTTGTCACTACTCTGTCTGTTTTGAGAATTGGAATTGAAATCAAAACCAGATAAGAAAAGAGTTGAATCAATAATTTTCACTCACACTTTTGGAAATGCAATGAAAAGAAATGCAGACCCTCAAACAGTTTCAAAGAAATCAAATGGGAAACACAGCAATTAGGATTGGTTAGGGGGGTTTTCATTTTTTTACACATTGGGCTCCATACGTTGTTGACTACTGCAGAGACTAGTGGAGGACCCATCAAGTTGGAACGAAAGAATAAAAATTCCATTTACATCTCTTTTCTATCATTCATCTGTTGAACGGTTTAGCCTTCACGTTTTTTCCTCACTGAGTTTGTTTCCTCGAAAAAAGATACAGAGGTGGTCGACCGGGGGGTTGACCTCCTAGTGTAAAATTTTTGCAAAATTTTGTTTGAGGTGGTCATCCGGGAGGACATCCGACCGGTCGTTTGGTGGGTCCACACTCAACGGATATACACAATAAATTGTTGAAAGGTGCAAGAGATCTTCGGTTTGGTGAAAATTTTGGAGCGTTCTCAATTTGATATTGTTTTGATAAAACCGTTAGAGCAAAAAAATGTGTACTTATTCACCAAATTTAAATTTGGTGATGCATCTGGTGAACTGTTGGAGATAGCCTAATAGGCGAAACCTATTAATTGGGCCGGTCCAGGTGGATCCGTTGAAGCCCGGCCCATGTTTACAGAGAGTTGTATCTATATTTGAGTCGGAGTCCAACTTCTCTATTCGAACTTGCTTAAAAAACTCTACGGTGGTTTCGGAATTCAATTTGACAAAACAAAAAAAAATTTGAAAAAATAGAAAAGACAAAAATAAGATAAAAATAGTAGTCTTTTTTGCTTATTTTGACTTATTAAATATAAATATTTTAAAAAAATTTTAGCCTAGTCTACACAAGATAGACCAAAAAATACAAAAAAATGACAAAAAGTTATTAAAAAGAAAATAAAATAAAAATGTGACTTTTTTTTGCACACCCGAAACAAATTTGGGTTTAACAAATTCAGAGAAGGTTTGAGTTGTCAAAATTCAAATACAAATTGGTTGGTTAAGGGGTATGTTTGGCATGTAAAGTTGGGACTAATAAACCAATAAATATTTTACCTAGTAAGATAAAATATTACATTCAAATCATAATTATTTCATTTTTTCTTTTACAACCATCAAATCAACTAAAAAATAGCCAATTATCATCTCAAACACAAGTTAAAAAAGTTCATCCCAAACGAAAGCTTAAAGTTCATTCCATGTATAGAGAGATCATAATCCCAACTTTTATCTGAACTTGTTTGAAGAAATCTAATTTAGGTAAAACTCGAAGTGGGTTTGAGTTATCCAAATTCAAATACAAAGTAGTTGGTTGATGATATGTTTAAACTCGATCTAAAGTATAAGTAGTTGGTTGATGATATGTTTAAACTCGATCTAAAGTATGTAATGATTTGTTAAAGTTCGAGTTTGACCTAAATCCAAACTCCCTAAATTGGTGTTAACAAATTTGAGTATGAGTTTAACTCTAATGATTTGGGATGTGGGTGATTCAAATTCAAACACAATAAATTATCCTTATGTTTATCTTAAATTAATGTATTTTACTTTTAAAAACTCAAAAGATAAATCAATAAATAAATACAATACACGACACTTAATATGAAAATACTGTGTATACGGAATAGTAAAATTTATTACGTTATAATATAATTTAATAAATATTAGTAATAAAATTCGAGTTGGTATTATTCGAGTTTAATTTAAATTGACAGCTTAATATTCAAATTATATTATTCCAAATTAAAAAAACAAATTGAAGTCAGACTTGTATTGTTGGAGTTGAAACCACCACAAGATGGCTCCAATAAAATTCGAGTTTGTTGGGTTGGCCGCATTCTGAGCATCCTTGCACAACCGTTGTTCCCATTTAATTTAAATTGAGAAAGTTTATTATTCAAATTATATTATCCCAAATAAAAAAAAAAAAATTGAAGTAAGACTTGTATTGATGGAGTTGAAACCACCCCAAGATGGCTCCGGATGAAACAAATTAAAACGCTAAGGTTTGGAGCCCTCGTATGGGCCGGAACGCCGGACCTGTCTGCCTGTATTTTTGACCACATTAGGTTTGTTTAATTTAGTCATATAAAATAAATAAATTTTTTAAATTAATAAGACAAAATATCACGTTTAAATCATAATTATTTTATTTTTCTTGCAAAAGTCAAAAAAATTAAGAAATCTATCCCAAACATAACTTTTTTAACCTACATTAAAAAAATCAAAAAATCAACCTACGTCCCAAACGAAAACATGGTTAAAAAAAAGAATAAAAACACAAGAATGCCTTAGTTAGCTAAGCCTAGCTCAAAAAATAAAATAATGAATAAATCTAATTATAAAAAAAAAAGCCAGCTGTATTTCTTCAAATTGATTCAGAGTAGCAAATTAAATTTTTTTAAACAAATTATAAATACATCCCCTAAAATATATTTAAAATACGAATTGTCTATTATAATTTAAAAAATTACATATACTTCCTTATAATAATTTTTTATTAAATAGAAATAATTAAAAAATATATAATTTCTAATTGTTTTCCTAACTAAATGATACTCCAAAATTATTGTATAATTTTTTATATTCTCCTATGTAATAATAAAATTAACTACATTATTGATTAAAATATATTTTTAACATTATTAAAAATTATTAATAAACTTGGTAATTTGTTAATAAAAAGACCACCTGTTATGAAATTAAAAATTCAGGAAGCAATTCATATTTTAACGAGTCTCAAGGGATATATCATATATGTATAATTTACCCCTTTTTTTAATTTCTCAATCTACTTAATCTTGATATACTTAAAAAGTATAAAATATGTACGAAATTATTTTAAAAAGGAAAAAGCGTGGTAGCTCGAATTGGAGGGGCTCGAATGGGTGTTGGCCGGTCGTTCGCCCGGACGACCGGGTGAAAGATTGTCTACCGCGGTTGTCAACCTCCTCACCGGACGACCGCCCGGACGTCCTCCTGGACGACCGGCAAGGTGAATTTCGGGCCATTCAGGCCAACCTCATATTCGGGCTACCAAGCATTGCTCTTTTAAAAATTCATTGAATGCATAAAAAAAATACAAGAATATACTAAATTTTCATTTTTTTTTTGTATTTTTTGTATTTGGTTAATTTTTTTAAAGACAAATAACAAAATGTATCTAAATTATGTATATTGCTCAAAAAAAATTATGTGTATCTAAAAAATAAAAATAACTTAAAATATTCAAAAAATTTACTAAAAACAAAAAACTTCCATGCAATATTAATTTTAATAAGCATGACATAATGCAACAACGAACAACCGTAGTAGCCACCCTTAAGATCGTTCACCGTGTCATAGGGTATCGGCATAACAGTTTCCAAGGTAGCAACTTCCACCATGAAACCAGGTTTAGGGCCCTCTGGCGGCCTTTTTGTGCTTATGACTTCACCTCTGGCCTTGGCCTCTGCCTTCAGTTTATCATTGTTCTTTTTCCTCAATTTGAAGTCCTTGGTGCACCTTGAATGCTGAACATGCTCGATACAGACATGGATCCTCTTGCGGATAATCCTGTTACCCACTTGTATTTATGTACATTAAATTATGTTCTATTTCATCAGTTAAAAAAAAAAAAGAGTAGAAGAGCACTTCCAAATAAATTTTAAAAAAATAGTAGATGAGGGGGGTTAAGTGTTACAATATTTAGTTCAGGGGGTAAAGTGATACGGGACAATAGTTGAGGGGGGTAAAGTGTAATTTACCCTTGCTGAATATGTCAATTACTTGTTTCATGAAAATATTTTTTGAGAGAAAAGGATGTTCATGCTAAATACGTCAATTGGTTTTTTTTGGTATTCACAACTAAATATGTTATAGTGATGAGTATGTCAATTACTTTATCTTCTCTCTCTCTATTTTATGGTTGTGCTGTTTTATTAAAGTTTGTTTTGAATTTATGAATGTTTTTGCATGTGTTCCACAAACAGAAGTTCTACCATATGATCATTTGAAGACAAATGGGGATCATGGTCAATAATGTATGTTGAATGTGCCAGAAGATGACTGCATTATGGACTGTTGGGGTTATTTGTGTTGACAATAAAGGACATATAGCATTTGGAGCTTCAAGTCGTGGCATTGCACTGAAGGTGATTATCTGCATTGTTTTTGTGGCATTTTCTTGTTATATATGCAAAGAGTTTCTATATTATTTGTCTCAAATCCTTAAATTGTATCATTATTTTTCTACTGTTCTTATTTAATTAACCCAAGTATGGCGATGGTGGTTGAATTGGTGTTCTGTGGGAGGAGTTGATTGGTGGCCATTGACAGTTTGGTAGGGGCTTTGGTGTATGAAGTTGTGTGTGTGAAAGAGAGAGAGAGAGAGGAGGGGGATTCAGAGGCTTTGATTTTTTTTATAAAAAAAAATCAGCTCCACTATGACATTTTGTCCTCCCAAGTTCCCAACAACCACGCAAAAGACATGCTTTTCTTGGTAGTGAATGAAGCCTTGAAGTGGTTATTGGGTAGCCAGTTCATTTGATGAAGTTAACCAAGTTTCTAAGGGCCTATTTGGCATCATTTTCATTTTCATTTTCATTTTCATTTTCAATGCTTTTCTGGCTTGTCTTTTATTTAGATTCGATGCCTTTGTTGATCACAATTCACACCTAAAAGTTGAAATTTGCATGACATCATTTCTAAAATGGATCATTATTCAGTTAAACTTGAAATTTATTCTTCAAATATTTTTAACAGATAAGTGGACGTGTGGGATTAGCAATGTATGGCTCCGATTGTTAGGCATCCTCAAAAGGCCCGTTTGGGGCTCCATTTATAGTTGGTCGCGTTAGTGGTGCTGGAGAGTATTTAATGAAAGGATTTGCTGCTCGGGAGTGCTATGTCCCATCATCACTTATATGTATCCTCGTTATTCAAAAATATTATTTTATTTTATTTTGGGAAGTACTAACAGAATAAAAAAAAAAAACAAAAAGAAAATTGTATCTTAGAAACGTGCAATTTTAATTATCTTTTACTGTGAACATTATATTTTCTTGGTATGAGGCTAGTTTAATACTGGGATATTTTTGTAAACGTCTTCGTGTTTTTGTGATTTTTGTCTAGTTTAGTGCTTTCTTCTATGTATTTAATTTTCATTATTTAATTTTGTGTTAAACCTACAAAAATCATATTCTTTGTTTCCATTTATGTATACCGCCAGCTTGTGAATCTAACATGGTTATTATTTTTGTTGCACAGGTCGCTGGCTGGTTCGGGCTCTGCTTCCATGAAAGTTTTACGCTCTGTTATGTAAGATACTAGCCAACACGGTACTGATAAAACTGCCGGAACTCTAGTTCATCAAGCCGAGGCTCGTATATCAGTGAGAGCTCTCGACCCTCAACCTTAATGGTTCTTTTTAACGAAAAAAATATGATTTATTATTTGTTTGTTTCTTATTTAGCTTCCTGGGACTTCACCTAAGCTGAAAGCTATAGAGATTGCAGCAGCCTACAATTCCCTGTCTGTTGGAATGGGTTATTTTGGAAGCTCTATGGAGCGGCCTAAGGTATTACAATATGTTTTAAGTAATATTTCAAAGCCTAGCATATGAATTTTCTTCTTTAATTGATATATTTAGATCAAATTTTAAAATCACATTGAGTTCAGTTGATCTCTGCAGATGACATTTAATGGTGAATCATCTCATTGAGTGTAAACTAATACATTGTGTATTAATTAGGTGTGAAATGTTCGTTAACATTTGTTATATTTAATGATTTCTTGTTTTATAATTGAACAAATATTTTGTATAAGAGCATATCATAAACTGACTAGAAGAGATTTGCATTTCGTATTTAAATTGTTCATTTTGTTTCAGTCATAATTGTAATGGTGACATATAACAGTTTGTAGTTTGTCCTGTTCGGTTCTTCCTTTTTTTGCCTTTTTGTGTCCATATCATGTTATATTATGTTGGTTTACATTTATTGATTTTTTTGCTGATTACACGAAACGAGCAAGCATTCCGCAATTCAAACCTAATTATGTGTTTAATTTTTACTTATGCGGAACTTATTTGTTTTATTCATCTATTTCTATGCAGGTCTCAATTCTTAGGACTACAAAACAGCAAAATAGGACCGACATTGACCAGTTTGCCGCATGAATTGATGTTGGTGGAAGTAAAGGATAAAATATTGTGTGCACTAAGATGTTGATAAGAAATTTAAAATTTGGAAGTAAATCAAACTGATTTATTTATTTTCTTCTTTCAAGTGACTCATCATGTTTCAAATGGTTATAAAGGCAAACCTAAAACCTGAAAGGTGTTCATTTTTGCTCATGAGAGAGATCAGTGCAATTACTTTATGGTCCATTCTTCCGCGACATGATAATGGGCTTGTTTGGTGTAAAAAGTTAAAAATGTGTGAAGCCTCTTTCATTGGGCTGCGGGCCAAAACCTTAAGCCTAGGTGAGCTCGCATGGTGGACTGCTGAGTGGGCCAAAATAGGCTCCCTCTATGGGCTCGTGGCTTGGCCTCCATGCTTAGCCCAAGATTTTAGCCTTTTTTTAAATAATTTTTCTTCACTTTTTTTTTATTATAATTTTTTGTGGGCTGGGTTGAGCTGGGTTTCAAATTCAAGGCCCAATCTCACTTTTGCTGGCATGTCTAGGATTTGGGCTTTATTTGTGTAACGGCAAATGAGCTTGGGCCTGGTTGGGTTTCAAGTTCAAGGTCCAATTCTAGGCTGTGTCTAACTTGGGTGGGCTTGTCCAGGATTTGGCCTTTATTTGAGTAAAATTCCAATGAGCTTGGGCCAGGTTGGGTTTCAAGTTCAAGGTCCAATTCTAGGCTGTGTCTAACTTGGGTGGGCTTGTCCAGGATTTGGCCTTTATTTGAGTAAAATTCCAATGAGCTTGGGCCAGGTTGGGTTTCAAATTCATGGCCCAATCTCACTTGGGCTGGCGAGTCTAGGATTTGGGCTGGTTCAGGTAAAAGCCCAATGAGGTTGGGTTGGGTTGGGTTTCAATTTCAAGGCCCAATTCTATGCTTGGACTCATTTCAACTGATAGGATTTGGGCTTGGTTTAGGTAAAAGGCCCAATGAGCTTGGGTCGGACTGAGTTTCAAATTTAAGGCCCAATTCCAAACCCATTCTCATTTGGGCTGACTCGTTTAGGATTTGAGCCTTGTTTAGGTAAAAGCCCAACAAGTTTGGGCTGGACTGGGTTTCAAGGGCAAAAACTGAATGCTATTCTCTTTGATCTTTCTCAAAATTTTAAAATTATGCCTTTGAGATTCATTACAATAAGAAAACAAATATGCGCAAATTTTTATCACTAGTATTTATAGTTTGGTTTGTGTCATTTCGACTTTTGTAATTTTAATTAATTTAATTTTAATCTTAAATTTTTTATTGTCTCAATTTAATTTAATTGACTTGAATGTAATCATTAACTTTTTTTTTTTTAAAAAAAAAAAAATTATGAGAAGTGCGCACATAAATAGTATGAGTTATGCTTTTAAGAACAAAATTATAAATTTTCTTAACTAAGTGAGTCAATATCTATCATCTTATTAACGATTTACTTCACAAACACTAATTAACGTTATTAATTAAATCAAAATAATACAAAATTTAAAATTAAAATAAAATTAAATCAATTAAAAATGTGAGAATCAAAATGATATATTAGACAAAATACAAAACTATCAATTTAATTTACCCAATAAACATAATCACTTTCCCTATCTTGATTCCAGGGAAGATCCAAGGCTGCCGGCTGGCAAGCCATCAGCTTGCAACCCAAGACAAGAAAATAAAACAGACAACAAAATCAAATCAAGGCCAAAAAAAAAATGAAAAACTACGGTACAAAAGAATTTTTTTTTATGATTGTTAGGCCAATATTCACAAATATAATAAAAAAAAAATTTAGTCCTTGATCTGGATTGAAAAGTGTTGTTCAGACTCATGGAGTTTCCTACGAGTTTCATTTTGATAATCTAAACCGATCATTTTGTATTTTAAATTTCCCATTATTTAGTGTTTTTAGTCTACCACTCTACATTATTCATGTTAGAATACTTGTCCAGTTATCTCTTACAAAAGAGAGAAAAAATTTAATTAAACTATAAATTAAATCATTGGTCTCTGTAATTTAAGTAAAGTGTCATTTTAATCATCGTAATTTTAATTTGAACATTTTGGTCCTTATATTTTAAATTTTGTTACAAGATGGTCTCTCTGTCAAATGCTGTTAACAATTGAAACATAAAAAATTAAGTGCAAAATTAAAAGGATCAAAATAAAATTTAAAACAAATTATAAGGACTAACAATATTCAACAATAGTAACAAAAAAAATCATATTCAAAAAAATCAAATTCCAACAAAATTGAAAACGAATAAACCAAATCCCAAAACTATATTGTTGGTTAAAGATGGGAAAACTTCTAAGCCACCCTCTACCAACTGAGAAAAATCATGATGGAGATATAGATTCATTTAAAAACATATTAACAAACGTGATTGGGTTCTTCTACTGACAATATTATATTTGGGTTCTTTTATTTCTATTTTTTAATTTATATGCTGCTTTCGCAGAGAGACAGGAGGCCGATGAAAGGAGACTCCATTTTTGACTTGTTCTCAGCCCTCAATTTCTTCTTCTTCTCACAAAAATATAGCCATTTATGAGACTGCAAAAGCTTTTTTTTCACTGAAAAAAAAGTCAACCACCTCTTTGCTTTGCTTTGCTTCGCTTCTGATCTGTTGGTTTTTTCTTTTCCTACTGTAATCGGAAACAATGCCTATAGCAGAGATCTTTCTCTCTGGCTTCTTCAAATTGCTGTTTCAGAAGATGACCTCTTTTGCCTCCTCCAAATTACCAACCTTTGAAGGTATTGGTGCCCAGCTGACCAATTGGACCAATATGCTGTCTCAAATTGAAGCTCTTCTGATTGACGCCGAGGACAAGCAACTGACTGATCGAGCCGTGAACCTGTGGCTCGACGATCTCCAGGATCTGGCATATGATTTGGATGATTTAGTGGATGAGTTCGCCACCGAAGCTTTGCGACACAAACTCAAGGCAAAGCCGTCCCAAGCTAGTTCGAGCAAGGTATGGAACCTCATCCCTAATTTCAAGCCAACAGATTTTATCTTTAATTTCAAAATGAAGTCCAAGATTGAGGAGATCAATACCAGATTGCACAATAGTTTTGAACAATGTTCGAAACTTAATTTGGTTAAGATTGTTGGACCCACCACACCTACTAAGACTTGGCAAAGACCAGACTCTACATCTATAATTGATGAACCTCGTGTTTATGGCCGAGAACACGATCAGAGTAAGATAATTGAGTTGCTCGTAAAGGGGGATGAACCAAGTCACAACAACGTCGGTGTAATTCCCATTGTGGGTATGGGTGGGATTGGCAAGACCACCCTAGCTCAGATGGTGTACAAGGATGAAACTGTGAAGGTGCATTTCGATTTGAAAGCATGGGCTTGTGTATCAGATGAGTTTGACATTCTGAGAATAACAAAAGCTATTTATGATTCAGTGACTTCCCAAACATGTAGTTTTAATAACTTGGATCAAGCTCAAGTTCAACTGCAAAAGGCTTTGGCTGGAAGGAAGTTCTTGATTGTTTTAGACGATGTCTGGAACAAAAAATACAGTGACTGGAATGTTTTGAAAAAACCTTTCAGTGATGGAGCCCAAGGGAGTAAAGTCGTGGTGACTACACGTAACAGAGATGTTGCAAGAATGATGGGAGCTGTTGAACTTCATGATATTGAGGTCCTATCAAATGAAGATTGTTGGTTTTTGTTTGCACAACATGCTTTTGAGCATAGAAGTATTGATGCAAATCCAAATTTGGTATCAATAGGTAAGAAAATTGTGGAGAAATGCAAAGGTTTGCCCCTGGCTGCTAAGACACTCGGTGGCCTTCTACGTTGCAAAGAACGAGATGAGGAATGGGTAGATGTATTGTGTAATAAAATATGGGATTTATCACACGAAGAAAGTGACATCCTTCTAGCTTTGAGATTAAGTTACCATCATCTCCCTTCGCATTTGAAGCAGTGTTTTGCATACTGCTCAATAATGCCCAAGGACTATGAATTTGAGGAAGAGGAGATAGTCTTGTTGTGGATGGCAGAGGGTTTCATTCAGCCAAAAAGAGAGAAACAAATGGAAGATATAGGAGGTGAGTATTTTCGGGAATTGTTGTCAAGGTCTTTTTTCCAACCATCAAGTACCGGTAAAAGCTCTAAATTTGTAATGCACGACCTCATCAATGATTTGGCTCAAGCAGTTGCAAGAGATACTTGTTTTAGATTGGAGGATAGATTGAAATATCAAGAGCAGTGCAAAAATATAAAGAAAGCTCGACATTCATCTTACATGCAGGAGTACCATGAGGGTATGAAAAAATTTGAGATCTTTGACGAAGCCACGCATTTACGGACCTTCTTACCATTTTCCTTAAAATCTAATTCATATTTTTATTTGGCAAGCAATGTTCCCCTTACTCTATTCTTGAAGCTAAGACGCTTGAGGGTGCTCAATATGAGTAGATATTACATTACAGAAGTTCCAAATTCGGTTGGAGATTTAAAACATCTGCGGTATCTTAACCTATCTCACACCTCCATTGAAGAATTACCTGAATCACTAGGCTCTCTCTACAATCTACAAACATTGATGTTAAGAGAATGTAAAAAACTGAAAAAGTTGCCATCAGACTTGGGAAACCTAATTGATCTACGTCATCTCGATACTACAAATGCACATTCCTTAGAAGAAATGCCATTGGGAATAGGTAAGTTGGTTAATCTTCATACATTGTCCAATTTTATTGTTACTAAAAACAATGGGCTTGGGATAAGAGAGTTGGGAAACTTAATTTATCTTCGGGGGAAGCTTTGCCTATCTGGCTTACAGAACGTGGTGGTTCCATTAGATGCAAGGGAGGCGAATTTAAATGATAAGAAGGGGTTAGATGTGTTATCAATGGAATGGAGTGTTAACTCAGATGATTCACGAGATGGAAGAGTTGAAACAGAAGTGCTTGACATGCTACAACCTCACAAGAATTTAAAAGAGCTCCATATCAAAGGCTACCTTGGTCCAGGATTTCCGACTTGGATAGGAGATCCTCTGTTCTCCAATATGGCTGACCTAAGTTTAGATAATTGTGGAAATTGTGCATCCTTGCCATCACTCGGACAACTACCCTCCCTCAAAAAGCTTTACATTAAAGGAATGAGTGTACTAAAGGATGTCGGTTGTGAGTTCTATGGGCAAGGTGGTGTTCAACCTTTTCCGTTACTGGAGACTCTAAGCTTTGAGAATATGCTAGAATGGGAGGATTGGTATACTTTTGGAGATCACAAGGAAGTTCAACCATTCACTCGTGTCAAGTATCTCTCCATAATAGAATGTCCCAAACTTCTTAAAATGTTGCCCAAGGATCTACCTTGTTTGAATAATCTAAAGATTAGGAACTGCCCCAAACTCTGCGGAATGTTGCCCAAGGATCTACCTTGTTTGAATAAGCTAAAGATTTCAAGGTGCCCGCAATTCCTAGTTGAAGGTTCCAGCGTTAGCCTCCCGTCACTCACCTCGATAGCTATGAATGACGTTCCTCTAACAAGCCTTGAAGCGGTCCTTGAGATGAGGAGTATGGTCGATGATGAAGTGATATCGGCAAATGCAAAGTCTAAGCATCCGAGTTCAATAACTTCCTTGAGCATTGGGATGATTAAGAAACTTGAGCTCTTGCCGAAATGGGTTACTCATGGGCTAATGGAAGTCGAGGAATTGAACATTAGAAGGTGTGAAGAACTCAAGACACTGTGGAAGAATGAGGCGAGAGTGCAACACAGCTTCCCTGCATTCCAACGTTTGGAAATTGAAGACTGCCCCCAGCTTGTTTCATTGTTTGAAGAAAATGAGGATGAAGAAAATGAAGGGCAACATCAGCAACAACAAGAAGGGGGACTCCCTAGCATAGTGAGGCTTGAGCATCTAACAATAATTAATTGTGAAAAGCTGGATAAACTGCCACGGCTGCTACATACCTTCACTTTTCTTCGAGAGTTGTATGTCTCTAACTGTCCGAGTCTCGGCTCTTTTCCGGAGACAGGTTTTCCCTGCACGCTGAAAGAACTTCATATAGATGATTGTGAGGCTCTGCAATCCTTATTCGGGTGGAGAACGCAGATTAATGACAATAATCTTGAAGTGTTACAGGTTTGGAGATGTCCATCCCTCACATGCTTGATATCGTGCAGAGGTGGGGGGCTACCACCCATACTCAAACACCTTGAGATTGTGAAGTGTAAAAAGTTGGAGGCACTGCTAGTAGAGGAGGGGATGGAAATTAACTATCCATCTCTTGAGTCTGTTTGGATCAGGGGTTGTGATAGGCTCAAGTACTTGCCAGATGCCCTTCCTAATAATAATAATCTCAGGAATCTCAGTCGGTTGATCTTGTATAGGTGTAAGAATTTGGAGTACATTCCAGAAGGATGGTTCCACTCCGCAACAAATCTGAGACGGTTGGATATCAGGGGATGCAAAAAACTGAAGGCCCTACCACACGGATTGCAGAGCATCAACTACCTCACTTCTCTTGAAGAGCTGGAGATGGATATTTCACAATGGAACAACAACTTCAAGAAGATTGGTTTGCACAGTTTATCCTCTCTTAAAAGACTAAGGTTGAGTGAAGGCAAAGAAGAAGAACATCCGGTGGGTTCCAGCTTTCTGATAGATGGGAAGTTGCTGCCCACCTCTCTGATCTATCTTTGCATCGAGGAATTCCGAAATCTGGAGAAGCTATCTTCTAAGTTGTTTCAAAACCTTGCCTCTCTTGAACAACTTGACATCGTTGGTTGCCCTAGGCTCAAATCTTTACCAGTGCAAAGCCTGCCTCCCTCACTTGAGAGATTGGTGATCTGGAGATGTCCGAGACTAACAGGGAAGTGTGAAAAGGGGAAAGGCAAATATTGGCCCCACTTAGCTCACATTCCTGACGTCAACGTCGATGAGTGATCAACTCTCTGGAGATTCCACCGCAATACAAGCAATCAAATTGCCAGGTATCAAAACAGAAACTAATTTGATAAATATAAACATTTAAAAATTACTTTCAGATTTTAAAAACAAAATATTTTTTCAAAAAGTGGAAAATCATAATGAAAAAAATATGTTAAATTTAAATTTGGAGGACCATCATGGGATGAGTAAATAATTTTTTTTAATTTTGGTTGGTTTTGGAGGTTTTAAAAATAGTTTTAAATTTTTAATTCGTATTTTTTTAATATATTGACTAATTTGTTTTATTTTTTAAATACATCTAATCTGCATATATTTTAAAAAATTTGAATTTTTTTAAAAATATTTAAAAATTTTAATAAATACAAAATACATACAAAAATGTATTAAATTTGTATATTTGTTAATATTTAGTGATTTTTTTAACGATTTTTTTCATAAATTTTATATGGTTTAGGTTTATTTAGATTGAGTGTATCTAAAACTTAAAAAATATTGATTAAAATACTTAAAAAGTTCACTAAAAATAATAAAATATAGATTGAAACTTAAAAACTAGTTTTGAAAGCTCCAAAACAAAACAGAGTTTTAAAAATTATTTCAAATTTGAAAACTAAATGACTTTTGGATTTTCAAATTTCTAAAAACTATTTTTAGAATATACAACCAAACAAATTTTTAGAAAATTATCTATTGATTATGAAAACCAAACCTTAGTTTGGGTTTTCTAGGATGGTCATTAAAAAGGGCGTCTCCGGTGTATGAACGGGATTTGAGGAAAGGTTGTTGTACGCAACCTTACTCCCACAAGTAGAGAGGCTATTAATAAATTATTTTTGTATTTGTTAAGTTGTTGCCTATCTAGAGATCGGGAAAAGTCAGATTGAAAGTGATTAAGTTGGTACAAATTCTTGTTGGAGGGAGAATTTTTTGGCCGGTCAAATAAGGGTAATGTTAAAAATAAAAAAAGAAAGAGAATGAAACGCTGTGAAATTATGTAAGTAGTTTGCAAATGCTTAGAAAAATTAAACAATTTTTTTGTTATTGTAAGAGCTAACTTAAAAAGTTACAAACAAATATACGCATATCAGGTGTCCAAATTTCATTTTGGTGAGCTGTTCTAATAAATATGGAAACTGAAAACAATTTTAATTGTATACTTGGAGTTACATTTTTTGCATGAAAAGAATTTATTAGAGTATTAAGTTTTATCAATCTATAAGGGATTATTTGATACAGAAATGTGCTTTCAAGGATCTGAATACAAAGAAAGGCTTCTTCCGATAGATTTCCTCATCTGCTTTTATTTCCCTAGGAAACCACAACAAATGGAAGAGTTCTCATTTCTTTCCAACTTCGTGCATTTGTTCCTGGATATCCTGTCCATCCAGTGATTGTTCGCTATCCCCTTGTACACTTTGACCAATCCTGGTAAGCTTTCTTTAGTTGAAACCATTTTGGTGTTGTCTTTTGTAATATCTTTACCTAATTTGCATCATATGGCCTTTCATTTTGTTTAGGGGAAATATATAACTTGCATCATATGGCCTTTCATTTTGTTTAGGGGAAATATAGCTTTGGGAAAGCTCATGTTTAGAATGTTCAGAGTTTCACAATTTCATGGAGGTATGTTGAGTGATTTTTTATTTATCTATAGTTGCATATATTGAAAATGTAGTGAGTTTGGCTTCCCCTACTATTTTTGTTTGTAAAATTTTTGGGTAATGTGGTGTGTAAGGTGGCAATTTATATATATAGGTTGTTATAGTGATGCCTCATTTTGCCATTTTTATTTTAATTACTAACTCACTCTCATAGATCATCAATACTGATTATTCATCAGCATAAATGTACATGCATTTATATGATGTGTCCCTGACTATATTATAATTTGAATTTTGGTTACTGAATAACTTGTGTGTTGTAAAAAGTTGAATGAAGTCATTTATTGAATTGTACAGGTAGAGTATCTTCCTATTTTTTTACCCCTTGAAAATCAGTAGGAAAATGCTCCCATTTTGCTCAGAGGGTGAGTCGACATTATTTGATTAATCTTTGTTTCCTTGTTGGCTTTAGTTGATATTTTAATATTAAGTATATTCTTATACATCAAAGTTTTTAATGGGCACATTACATACAATTTGTTAATTTTTTTGTATATTGTTAACATGTTCTGTATTTCATATGCTTAATCTCCTAAGCAATTCAGAACCAGTGGATGTTTAACACATCGTAAATATTGTAATTGAATTTGTGTGATGTTATGTCTACTGCATTTGTGTGTGGAAGCCTGCCCTTTTTTTTCGCATCTTTGCACAAAGAATTAGACAATTGATGAATGGTCTTTGGATTTAAAGTAATATTATATATATACAAAGATCAAAATTTCGTTTCGGTGTGTTGTTTCAAAAAGTACAGAAACAAAAACATCTTGGAAATATTTTATGAAATGAAGATCAAATTGAAATGTTTGAAAATATAAATTGAAATATATCTAAATGTATAAAAGCCTAATAATTGATTAATTAAACAAATTGAGATTGATATAGTCATTCACATAAAAGAATTAAAAAACTAATGTTACTATGAACTAAAAATTATTAAGTATTGTCAAATAACTCAATTTTATTAAACAAAAATTTCCAATAAGGTCTAAAAGTTTACTGAAACAGAGTAATAAATGTTTATGAAAATTTCTAAATTTGTATAGATACAATTTACTCTTTTGGTATATCACACTATGTTTTGGTGTGTTTCACTATGTTTTGGCGTGTTTCAATGAAAATACTAGAATTTTGTTATTCCACTAGTGTTTCGTTTCAGTCTCTTGTTAGGTCGTGGCATTGCACTGAAGGTGATTATCTGCTTTGTTTTTGTGGCATTTTCTTGTCATATATGCAAAGAGTTTCTATATTATTTGTCTCAATTCCTTAAATTGTATCATTATTTTTCTACTGTTCTTATTTAATTAACCCAAGTATGGCGATGGTGGTCGAATTGGTGTTCTGTGGGAGGAGTTGATTGGTGGCCATTGACAGTTTGGTAGGGGCATTGGTGTATGAAGTTGTGTGTGAGAGAGAGAGAGAGAGAGGAGGGGGATTCAGAGGCTTTGATTTTTTTTAAAAAAAAAAAAATCAGTTCCACTATGACATTTTGTCCTCCCAAGTTCCCAACAACCACGCAAAAGAAATGCTTTTCTTGGTAGTGAATGAAACCTTGAAGTGGTTAATGGGTAGCCAGTTCATTTGATGAAGTTAACCAAGTTTCTAAGGGCCTATTTGGCATCATTTTCATTTTAATTTTCAATGCTTTTCTGGCTTGTCTTTTATTTAGATTCGATGCCTTTGTTGATCACAATTCACACCTAAAAGTTCAAATTTGCATGACATCATTTCTAAAATGGATCATTATTCAGTTAAACTTGAAATTTATTCTTCAAATATTTTTAACAGATAAGTGGACGTGTGGGATTAGCAATGTATGGCTCCGATTGTTAGGCATCCTCAAAAGGCCCGTTTGGGGCTCCATTTATAGTTGGTCGCGTTAGTGGTGCTGGAGAGTATTTAAGGAAAGGATTTGCTGCTCGGGAGTGCTATGTCTCATCATCACTTATATTTATCCTCGTTATTCAAAAATATTATTTTATTTTATTTTGGGAAGTATAACTAACAGAATAAAAAAAAAAAACAAAAAGAAAATTGTATCATAGAAACGTGCAATTTTAATTATCTTTTACTATAAGGAACATTATATTTTCTTGGTATGAGGCTAGTTTAATGCTGGGATATTTTTGTAAACGTCTTTGTGTTTTTGTGATTTTTGTCTAGTTTAGTGCTTTCTTCTATGTATTTAGTTTTCATTATTTAATTTTGTGTTAAACCTACAAAAATCATATTCTTTGTTTCCTTTATGTATACCCCCAACTTGTGAATCTAACATGGTTATTAATTTTGTTGCACAGGTCGCTGGCTGGTTCGGGCTCTGCTTGCATGAAAGTTTTACGCTCTGTTATGTAAGATAGTAGCCAACACGGTACTGATAAAACTGCCGGAACTCTAGTTGATCAAGCCGAGGCTCGTATATCAGTGAGAGCTCCCGACCCTCAAACTTAATGGTTTTTTTTAAGGAAAAAAAACGACTTATTATTTGTTTGTTTCCTATTTAGCTTCCTGGGACTTCACCTAAGCTGAAAGCTATAGAGATTGCAGCAGCCTACAATTCCCTGTCTGTTGGAATGGGTTATTTTGGAAGCTCTATGGAGCGGCCTAAGGTATTATAATATGTTTTAAGTAATATTTCAAAGCCTAGCATATGAATTTTCTTCTTTAATTGATATATTTATATCAAATTTTAAGATCACATTGAGTTCAGTTGATCTCTGCATATGACATTTAATGGTGAATCATCTCATTGAGAGTAAACTAATACATTGTGTATTAATTAGGTGTGAAATGTTCGTTAACATTTGTTATATTTAATAATTTCTTGTTTTAGAATTGAACAAATATTTTATATAAGAGCATATCATAAACTGACTAGAAGAGATTTGCATTTCGTATTTAAATTGTTCAATTTGTTTCAGTCATAATTGTAATGGTGACATATAACAGTTTGTAGTTTGTCCTGTTCAGTTCTTCCTTTTTTTTTTTTTTCCTTTTTGTGTCCATATCATGTTATATTATGTTGGTTTACATTTATCAATTTTTTTGCTGATTATACGAAATGAGCAAGCATGCCGCAATTCAAACCTAATTATGTGTTTAATTTTTTTACTTAATTATGTGTTTAATTTTTACTTATACGAAACTTATTTGTTTTATTCATCTATTTTTATGCAGGTCTCAATTTTTAGGACTACAAAACAGCAAAATAGGACCGACACTGACCAGTTTGCTGCACGAATTGATGTTGGTGGAAGTAAAGGATAAAATATTGTGTGCGCTAAGATTTTGATAAGAAATTTAAAATTTGAAAGTAAATCAAATTGATTTATTTATTTTCTTCTTTCAAGTGACTCGTCATGTTTCAAATGGTTATTAAGGCAAACCTAAAACCTGAAAGGTGTTCATTTTTACTCATGAGAGAGATCAGCGCAATTATTTTATGGTCCATTCTTCCGCAACATGATAATGGGCTTGTTTGGTGTAAAAAGTTGAAAATGTGTGAAGCCTCTTTCATTGGGCTGCGGGCCAAAACCTTAAGCCTAGGTGAGCTCGCATGGTGGACTTCTGAGTGGGCCAAAATAGGCTCCCTCTATGGGCTCGTGGCTTGGCTTCCAGGCTTAGCCCAAGGTTTTAGTCTTTTTTTAAATAATTTTTCTTCACTTTTTTTTTATTATAATTTTTTTGTAGGTTGGGCTGTGCTGGGTTTCAAATTCAAGACCTAATCTCACTTGTGCTGGCATGTCTAGGATTTGGGCTTTATTTGTATAACGGCGAATGAGCTTGGGCCTGGTTGGGTTTCAAGTTCAAGGTCCAATTCTAGGCTCTGACTAACTTGGGCGGGTTTGTTCAGGATTTGGCCTTTATTTGAGTAAAATCCCAATAAGCTTGGGCCAGGTTGGGTTTCAAATTCTTGGCCCAATCTCACTTGGGCTGGCGAGTTTAGGATTTGGGCTTTGTTTAGGTAAAAGCCTAATGAGCTTGGGCTGGGTTGGGTTTCAATTTCAAGGCCAATTCTAGGCGTAGTCTCATTTCAACTGACGTGTCCAGGATTTGGGCTTGGTTTAGGTAAAAGGCCCAATGAGCTTGGGTCGGACTGAGTTTCAAATTTAAGGCCCAATTCCAAACCCATTCTCATTTGGGCTACTCGTTTAGGATTTGAGCCTTGTTTGGGTAAAAGCCCAACAAGTTTGGGCTGGATTGGGTTTCAAGGGCAAAAAATTGTATGCTATTCTCTTTGATGTTTCTCAAATTTTTAAAATTATGCCTTTGAGATTCATTACAATAAGAAAATAAATATGCACAAATTTTTATCACTAGTTTTTATAGTTTGGTTTTAGTGTCATTTCGACCTTTGTAATTTTAATTAATTCAATTTTAATCTTAAATTTTTTATTGTCTCAATTTAATTTAATTGACCGTAATCATTAACTTTTTTTAAAAAAAAAAAAAAAATTATGAGAAGTGCGCACACAAGTAGCATGAGTTATGCTTTTAGGAACAAAATTATAAATTTTCTTAACTGAGTGAGTCAATCTCTATCATCTCATTAACGATTTACTTCAAAAACACTAATCAATGTTATTAATTAAATCAAAATAATACAAAATTTAAAATTAAAATTAAATTAAATCAATTAAAAATGTGAGAATCAAAATGATATATTAGACAAAATACAAAATTACCAATTTAATTTACCCAATAAACATAACCACTTTCCTTATCTTGATTCCAGGGAAGATCCAAGGCTGTCGGCTGGCAAGCTATCAGCTTGCAACCCAAGACAAGAAAATAAAACAGACAACAAAATCAAATCAAGGTCAAAAAGAAAATAAAAAACTACGGTACAAAAGATTTTTTTTTTTATGATTGTTAGGCCAATATTCACAAATATAATTAAAAAAGAATTTAGTCCTCGATTTGGATTGAAAAGTGTTGTTCAGACTCATGGAGTTTGCTACGAGTTTCATTATGATAATCTAAACCGATCATTTTGTATTTTAAATTTCCCATTATTTAGTGTTTTTAGACTACCACTCTACATTATTCATGTTAGAATACTTGTCCAGTTATCTTTTACAAAAGAGAGAAAAAATTTAATTAAACTATAAATTAAATCATTGGTCTCTGTAATTTAAGTAAAGTGTCATTTTAGTCATCGTAATTTTAATTTGAACATTTTGGTTCTTACATTTTAAATTTTGTTACAAGATGGTCTCTCCGTCAAATGTTGTTAACAATTGAAACATAAAAAATTAGTGCAAAATTAGAAGGACCAAAATAAAATTTAAAACAAATTATAGAGACTAAAGATATTCAACAATAGTAACAAAAAAATCACATTCAAAAAAATCAAATTCCAACAAAATTGAAAACGTATAAACCAAATCCCAAAACTATATTGTTGGTTAAAGATGGGAAAACTTCAAAGCCACCCTCTACCAACTGAGAAAAACCATGATAGAGATGAATTCATTTTAAAACATATTAACAAACGTGATTGGGTTCTTCTACTATCAATATTATATTTGGGTTCTTTTATTTTTATTTTTTAATTTATATGTTGTTTTCGCAGAGAGACAGGAGAACGTGATTGGGTTCTTTTACTAAAAATATTATATTTGGGTTCTTTTATTTTTATTTTTTAATTTATATGCTGTTTTCGTAGAGAGACAGGAGGCCAATGAAAGGAGAATTTCTTCTTCTCCTCACAAAAATATAGCCATTTATGAGACTGCAAAAGCTTTTTTTTCACTGAAAAAAAAGTCAACCACCTCTTTGCTTTGCTTTGCTTCTGATTTGTTGGTTTTTTCTTTTCCTACTGTAATCAGAAACAATGCCTATAGCAGAGATCTTTCTCTCTGGCTTGGTCAAATTGCTGTTTCAGAAGATGACCTCTTTTGCCTCCTCCAAATTACCAACCTTTGAAGGTATTGGTGCCCAGCTGACCAATTGGACCAATATGCTGTCTCAAATTGAAGCTCTTCTAATTGACGCCGAGGACAAGCAACTGACTGATCAAGCCGTGAACCTGTGGCTTGACGATCTCCAGGATCTGGCATATGATTTGGATGATTTAGTGGATGAGTTCGCCACCGAAGCTTTGCGACACAAACTCAAGGCAAAGCCGTCCAAAGCTAGTTCGAGCAAGGTATGGAACCTCATCCCTAATTTCAAGCCAACAGATGTTATCTTTAATTTCAACATGGGGATTTCAAGTCTATGAAGTGAATATCCAGGATTATCCAGCCTTTGGTTCCATATTTTCCTATATTTACTTATATTCCCTGAATCTGTGAACATTTTAACATAAATTCAAATTGGAAAAAAAGAAAAGGTACTGTGTCCATGACTTACTGAGAATGTGTTAAATGGTTATGAGAATATTTTACAACAGCATCCAGATAACTGATTTTAGAGTTTCCATCATTTCAGTGACTGAGTAGCAGTTGGCCGTGCACTTGATCTTCCCGTGTATTTTGGTGATGCTTGTAGTCGAGAGGTATAGATGATCCTGCTCAAACTTAAATATGCTTTGTGCAGGTTCATTGTCTGACATGTTGCTCGTATTCCTGGCCACCAGGTGCTCCATAAAGTTGGTGCTGAAAGAGCATGTGTAGCAGCAATAACTTAAGATACCCCTGGTGCAAACTATAGAACAGTGTGTGCTTTGAGCAAGTATTTCCCTAATGTCAAGACATTTGTCCGTGTTCATGATGTTGATCATGGCCTCAATTTGGAAAAGGCGGGGGCAACAACGGTATATTTTTGTTGCTGTTTTCATTAGTAATTTCACTCTTCCTAATTGCCTATATAGGTTAATCTTACAATTTTATTTTAGGATGTTTTAGGAGCTCATTATTCTTGTTTGACTTGTGTATAAATCTTTTATCAATACTAATATATCTTGCATTATCTATATAAAGATCAATTTTTTGTTCAAATTACATCATATCTTGAGTTTTAGTTGAAACTCTTACAGGTTGTCCCCGAGACCTTGGAACCTAGTCTCCAACTACAGCTCGGACTCGATTTGTGTAGACGTCCCCGAACGCCCCTAGAGGGTGAGCTCCCGTTTTGTTCATTTTGGGGTCACTACAGCTCGGACTCGATTTGTGTCACAGTTCTTAATCTTGAACCAAAGAGTCCAAATCTGGCAAATCGTTTTGAGAAACAGATTTTTAGAAAAAGAAGTGCCAAACATGGACTACTTTGCCAGATACAGAGTCGCCACCTAAATATTTTTTATGGGGGAATTTAGGAAACCCTGACTCGGTGCCGAAGGCCACATGTCCGTCATCACCAAAGTTGTCTTGGCTCGGGAGCTTGGGTACGATCGGGGAAGGTCAGCTATGAGCACCCCCTTTCGCCCGGTCCGAAGACCGGCCTCTACTAACCATGATATCCGATTTTGAAAACAATATGTGTTCTTATTCCAATTATTAGCCTGGAATTACTATGTAATGCGCGCAGCAAACAAGTATAGACTAGATTGCCTAATTTGGAAATAAACATTGCACATCCGTTCGGTTTTGAAAAGCGCTTTGGAATTTGCTACTCGCAAGTAGGCTAAAACACGGATCTCAATGAGTTTTTCCAACTCAAACAATCCAACCTTCATCACCCACAGGCATTCAAACAGTTTATCTCATATAAGCACTTGGCCGCATGGTAAGCATATTATCATGGCAACATTCACAAGCATGCAATATGCTAAAGCGAAAATACTTACATCGTACTCTGTGCCAAAAACAATAAACTATTTAGCAAACATGCATGTCCTAGTTCATTTAAAATGACTAGTGCAACACACAAGTAAAACGTGATTAGGATAGGCTCGGCTAATCTACGATGACATGTGAATGCTACAACTATCACGTATTCAATTTGGAAATTGAAACACAGATGCAGTTAGAATGATGCGCCGAGCCCGTGCATGTAAAACAAAAGAATGAATGCACGCATGCATTGCATGAGGTATGCTAATTTAAACGTGCCCTAATACTAACCATCAAAGCAGTGTAAATAAAAGGGAAGAAAGAAGTGGGGATTGGAAGACATACACACCACTCACACACACTTATTACAGATTTGCCCTCGCCGGAGGGACCAAATAAATAATACAAATTATTAACTACGCAAGCTAATTAAATATTACAAATTGCCTAATCAGTTAACAAACTAATTTAAACTAGGAAAAGCAGTAAACCGCCTCGGAGGAGAGCCAGATGCAGCGCATGCTCGGGTCCTGCTCGGAAGTGCACGGCCATGCATAGTCTGCCTTGTTTTCCCTGCTCTGCCTCTCTGAAGACTGCCAAAGTCTCAAGGATGCTTCTCTGGATACTGGGAATCACCACCGGCTGAGTAGAATTACCACCGCAGTGAATTGTGGTCACCGCACAAAATGAATCCATCGGCTGGTGATTTACTCCGCGTCGGCAATGTATAATGCGGTCGGCAAAGAATGCCTGCAGAACCTGCAACTCACAGCAGCAGAGGACAGAACTTGCATGGCAATACAATTCAAGCAATGTATGCACCATCATGTCCCCTATCATGTTTGTGACTCAAAAGGGCATGTGTCTCGATTCTCGGACCGCCAATCACGCATTCCATGCATGACGGCCCAAAGAATCAAGTGTGCAACTTTCATGTCAATGAAATGCAAACCAAACAAACGAACCAAGGCCTAATTCCTATCACCAAGTCAAGGAACAAGGCATGCATGCAAGATGCATGCAACCTAGGCATGCAAAGCTAAGGATGCAACATGCATGCAAGACACTTATGCAAGCATACAAGCAAACATGAGGCAATGCAAACTGATGAAAAGGTGGACTTATACATGATTTAGGCAACTCTAAATAGGCCTAAACAGTGGCCATAGTGCTATTAAAATGAGGGCTAAATGACATGCAAACATGCATGCACACAAGGACCAACACTTAAGCATAAAAAGGCAATCTCAAGCACAAGCATAACATGGACTAATGGTATGCAAGGTAAGCATTGAAAATCATGTTACAAAGGGTGTTAAGCCGATTAAACAAGACAAACAAGGCATGCAAACGAAACCAAAAACCAAGGCAGCCCAAGAGGCTTAAACCAAGACTAAATCAACCAGCCTTACAAGGCTAAGAGGACTTAAAATGTCTAGTGCAGACCTAAACAACACCCAAGGAGACCTAGATGGCATCAAAATGGCTCAAAATCAAAAGCATGCACAGTGACCAAAACATGGAGCATGCAAGTCAAGCTTCCAAAACTTCAAAGAGGTGTCCAAAGCAAGCATACAAGCATGTCAAAGGGACTGAAATTATGCTATAAATGATGCCAAATCATTAGAAATAAGCAAGTAGTGCATGCTACATACTCACACACTTGAGGCCAACAAGCCAAAATGCAAAGGGGGCATATAATGCAATGCATGGCCGACCAAACAACTATGGACAGACCTCTAGCATGGCAAAATAAGCACACAAGCTTCACAAACTAGACCTAAAACATGCTAGAGCAAAGGCTAACAACCTAAGGCATAATTAAGGCAATAACAAGGCATTACATGGTAGGTATGCTAAGTATGCATGGGTACCAAAACCAAACACAAACCAAAAAGGTTATGTCATGGCTATATAAGCATGGAAAACAGCCAAGACATGATAAATACACACTCTAACATGATGCTCCTCAAGAGGCCAAAAAGGGTCCCTTTCAAGGACAACAAGGAGAGGGGGTGGCCTCCCCTTTTGGAGACTTCAAGGCACCATCTCCG